AAACGAGGGACAAAGTAGTCATAGCCTACTATGATTCTCCCCCACCCCCAGCAAAAACAAAACCCTGGTTTTTGACCAGAAGAAAGCAGAGCTTACAAAATTCCTCTTTGTTTTTTACTACAATTCCTGAACCCCCCAGTCTACATATCCAGTGTCCACATGAGCCAGCAAAATTCTGGAACTTGCAATCCAAACAAGGGAACTTTTCCAAGCTCTGGAAGAAAGTGGTATGTTTGAAACATGGGGAGACAGCCTTATAACTTGGGTATTCAGTTTATCAGCTCTAGAGTTGTAGTTCATACTGGTGAGAACTACTTTACACTCTGTGGGTGGAATGGCTGGTCACCAGATCACCTTAATGTATGAGCATATGTGAAGCTGCTTCATTCTGAGTTAGACCACTGAGCACCTGTGGCATTTCCCAAGCTGAAATCTTGTCCTGCTCTTCTACCTGCCAAATAGCTAGTTGGCATGAAATGAAAGATGGCTCATCTGCATATAAGTCAAATGCTCCACCACTGAGTCACATCCACTTGGAGCAGGTGATCTCTTCATCATATGAATTGATATGGACCCATAATGTCATTCAGTAAGAGGATATTAACAGAATAAAAGATGTAAAGGATAACTAACCAGTGCTACGTGACTTTTGGGCTGCAAGAAAAGATGGACTCCCAAATCCCACTGCTTCAGGATATAAAGAATGTGCAATTCTGTGATAAAAGAAATGAGACACTGCGAGACGAAGGGTTCTTCTCATCTTTTGCTCAAAACAACCCTTTGGAATGTTTAGCTATCAGATCCAAATTGCCTCTGTGCTGTGTAAAATGCTTCTTTGCTTATGTTACTCCACAAAATTGCTAGTAGATCTGTTTGTTATACATGTAGATAACCCAGACAATGCCTTATTATTGGGCAGGTGGACCCATTTGGAATTTTGATTAAAAGGCACCCCAAAATGGCTGTAAGTAGGGATGGGCAGCACAAAATGGCTGCCATGGTGGAGGCAACCAGTCCAAAAACATCTCAGACAGAGTGATACAGCTAAAAGATTAGTGTTTCTAATTTAGCAGGTGGCTTGGCTGCTCTTAAGCGAAGTGCCACAGGGAGCACACTTGGTGCCCATGGGCATTCTGGGGAAGGAAAATGATGATGTGGGTTGCTTGCAAGCCAGATGCTTTGTTTTCAACCTACACAAGCTGTGGGTGTGTGTGTGCGGAAATGCAGCTATGAGGAAGCCCAGTAGTGCCCAGAGGTTCCATACTGGAGCCTTTTGCCTTAAAACACATAGACTAACAACTATTTCAGCAGAGGGAAGGGATGCAGATGTATTTGATGCAGATTCAGACTTCAAAGGTATGGAGCCTTCAGCATCAGGATCCCCAGAATTATGGGCAATCATGGGCCAAACCAGGACCATAGTTGGTCTTCTTGCTTACATATACAGTTGCCCCTCTGTTTTAGCAGACTTGAAGTCTGCAGTCTTGATTATTCATGGTGGGGTGATCCCCACTGGTTAAAATGCCATGTGTGCCTGTAGCACACATAGCCATTCAAGCCAATGGGGCTTGAATATCCACAATTTTTCATTTTCGCAGTGTGTGTGTGTGTGTGTCTGTCTGGAATGGATACCCTGCAAAAAAAGGAAGGGTGACTGTACTTCTTTACCAAATAAAGGGAACACTTTGGCCATATATTCCTCAGGAAAAAGGAGCACAAGACATGCAAAGGCTTAAGAGTCAGGGTTCCCTGTTTCTCTCTCCCTGAAAAAGGCAGAATGCCGGCTTCAGGCTTTGGCCAACTGTGAACATGAAGAGGGCTGCTGAAGTGAGAAGCTCTCTCATCCCTTGGTTTGCACCTACTGTTGACCAGATGGAGAAGGACAATACCTTAGCCCAAAAGAGATCCAGCTATAAGGAAAAGCAGGACATCCAAAATTGGGCACAACTACAGAACATCTGTGTGAGTGATGCTCTATGGAGGGCAAAAGAAGATTGAAGAGTTATTGAAATGGAAGAGGGCCAGAAGAGAAGATAAAAGAAGCCTCTGGTTTTCCAAGGAAGAAACCAAAACCTACAACCTGGGTGAATTAAACAGAAGCTGTTTCAGCGGAGCAGCATACACAGAGCTGGATGGCTGCAGCAAAGCCAGTGGGCATCCATTCTTAGAAGAACCAGCTCATTTTCCAAGCCAAGATGTGAGGAAGAGATCATAGTTTCTGCCTCCTGTTCTCTCCTCCTTGCAGAGAATTGCTCATATCGTCACCATCATCTTTGCCCCAAACAATGCAATATTGAATCATGAACTGTTAATTTTGGATGCTGTTTTGTACAAGACTGGAGTGTATGCAGTATCTGAATATACATTTGGCTTCAAATCAAAACCACCATCAGAATGGTAAGAGGGGATGGTTTAGTCTATCTTCTTCTAGCCAGCTGTGATCAAAGCACTGTTCATTTCTTAAATGTCAGGGAATGTACTATTGTTTCCACATTAAAACATCAAATCCGCCCCTTGCTAAGTCACATGCCATTACCATGACAGAAGAGTTGATTTGTTTTGCAAGCGATAACAGATCTGAGATTACAGGCTAGTCAGCTGCTTGGCACTGTTAAGTATGTTGTCTGTACAACCCATTTCATCTGGGGGGAAATCAAGGCTTTCCCCTGAAAGCAAGTCAGAGAAGTTCTAGCTATGGATCCTTCTGCTGGCAAATCCATGTTCTTTTCCATGAATGCAATCCCATGCCAAGATTTAAAAGGATTTTTGTGTGTGAGGTTTGCCTACGTAGTACTGTGCAGTACTTGGACAAGTTCCCTTTTTTGGACATGCTGGCCAGGGGATTCTGGGAGTTGTAGTCCAAAGAAAGAAAGAAAGAAACTTATCTGAGCTCCAGCAGAGTGACACTTGTGTATTGGAGAGAAGGCAGTAGCAATGTCTAGGGCTCTGTGATAGAGGCACGGTTTGTCTTCCATCCCTCCCCCACACCCCAATTTTTTTGTGCAACAGCCAAGCTGCCAAAAAAAGTAATAAAGGATCTGGTGTGTTCTGCTTATTAAACATGTCCATCGGAAGTGGTAGATTTGAAGCTTCATTTCCATGGAAACAGTCAGTAATTGCTGTAACAATGGGAGTTTTACATGCTCGAAAGTTATTAGTCACCAAGTTTTCAGAGGCAGCCTGGGGGTGGGAGGGAGATCGGGGAAGAGAAGAGGTCCTAGAGGTAAAATGGTTCAGGTGAAAATTTTGTGGAGTTGTGGGTGGATAATAGAAGAAAGAGAATGATCTAGGAAAAAAACAGAAGGGATTGCAATAGAGGCACCTGCCTCGAGGACCCTACCCTTCATATGTTTTTGTTGTTGTTGTTCCTTTAAGAGACCAAAGTGTTGATCCCACAAAAGTATCAATAGGATACCTTAAAATAAAACCTAGGCCAACCAATGAGTTTATAAAGATGGTGCAATCATTTGAGCCCCACTTACGTAAGAGTTTGTGAACCTCAAGAGGTTTGCTCCATCTTTAACTAACTGACCACAATACAAGGCATTGGTCTCTTCCATCTTTATGCCACTGATTCCACTAACAGCAGTGAGAGATCTGTCCATTCCTACTTCCTTCAAAAGGATCAGATGGGGTGGAAGGAGGGAGAGCTAAGAAAAACAACAACAACCCAACCCAACAAAAATCAACATGAGGACCTGAGGTCAGACAATCCACCCATGCCCCTTTGCTTTAGTTCTCTGCTTTCTTGTTTTCATCTTTCGGTGGTGCTTCAGGGACCAGAACAACTTTCCCAACATTCTTCTTCTCATGCATCTGCTTCATAGCATCCACGACCTTCAAAAGGAGAAGGGAGAGGAAATTCATTACATTGCTTAAGAGTAAGGTCTTTTCACAGGCAGTGCCAGGGACCTCTATCAAGAATGTGTTGGGAGAAGGCCAAAGTCGCATCTAGGTCAGTACTTCCATCTTTAGCACTGGTCAGACAAATGCCCAGCATGATGGAGAGAGGCCATCTCCTCTTTATCACTATTAGCTGGTAAATGGAAGTATCTATAATAGCTAAAAATATTATCAGTCTGGGTAAAATACATAACGTACCCTTGAGACCAATTGGTGAGAAGAAATTTCTAGCATAAGCTTTCATGGACACAGTCCTCTTCATCGGATACATAATAAAGTAGACTGTATCCATGAAAGCTTATGCTAAAAATGTCCTCTTCCTGGTTAGTGTCAAATGCACGACAGGAGTACTTTAAGTCTTTTTATGCTAAAACAGACTATCTTTTTGAATACTAAAGTGACATCTATTAAATACTTATATTCCATTATTCCCCCCCCATCTTTTATTGTCCTTTGGAATGGGCATACTGTTTTTTTTTTATTATTATTATTATTATTATTATTATTATTATTATTATTATTGCTGGACTTCAACTCCCACCAGCCCTACCCAGCACAGCCAATAGTGAGGGGAAGATGGCAGCTCAAGCTCAACAACATTTATCTTCTCCATCCCTGCCATTTGCTACTGCGACATCCATTGGCAATGAACTCAAGTACTTCCTTTTCAACATCACAGATGTTCAACATCTCTGAAACACAGAGTGAATTAACAGCTATTGTATCACCTCCTCTCCTTCTCTAAAACTTATTTTGTTATTAATAACAAAATGCAAACTTGGATCCAAACTTACTTTAGATACACTAGAGACATCATTGGACTTTTTAAAAACTGAAGTTGTAATTAACTTAGATTTCACTGATACCAATACGTTTACTTTAAATATGGCTAAGGCTGGCATTACTCCAGATGATGCTAGCACCTGGTCCATATCTCCATTACACAAGTACTTTCCCATCTTCTTGCAGTAGGCTGGCTTAAACTCTGGGCCTGTGTGTGGACACAGCTACATTTCCCCCACAACCCTAAAAGGTCACTAAAACATCTTGGAAGTCTCACTAGAATATCACTACTGCATAAAGTATGTATGTAGAGACCCAGTGTAGCACAGTGGTTTGTACGTCAGACCGCAACTCTGCAGACCAGGGTTTAATTCCCAGTTCAGCCATGTAAACCCACTGGGTGATCTTGGGCAAGTCACATGCTCTCAGCCTCAGAGGAAGGGCTCTGAACAAATCTTGCCAAGATAATCCCATTGTAGGGGTTATGGTCACCCTAAGTTGGAAATGACTTGAAATTCTCCAAAATAAGCAGAATTCAGTGCAGGACCCTGTTTCAATGCCAGGGCAATTAACTGATCAAGAATGACTTAGGTGCTTACATGGAGTGCTGCTGATTTTCTGTTCCTCCCTTCTGATTGAAAAGGAACAGCTAATGGAAGAGGCAAGTGATTGTATGACTCATCCATTTGCTCACTCACTTTCTTCTCTGCCATCAACATCATCGGATGACAAAATACAATCAGCTGGAGAAAGGCTTCATGTAATTCTTTCCCCCACCCTCACCACCACTCTACTCCCTTACTACTCCACACCCATTTTTAATATTTGCTTTAGCAATTCAGATAAGCTTCTTAATGTCATCCAGAACAACATTAAGAACATACAGAAGTCAAGGCATGCATTTAATAAGATAATGGATGTCTCAGCTGCTGAGATTCACCACTCACCCCTGAAGGAGTGTAGCATATTCCTCTGGCATTATCCCCCCTTCTAAAGCCATAAACTGTGTGCACAGTGTTTGTTTTTCAGAAAAGAGGGTTGCTACAGATGAAGGCTACATGGCTACAGACTCTTTGCGGGGGACACTCTGCCTTAAAAATCATTAAGTTTATAATGGGGCCCAAGAGACATGAGGAGAGCTTGCTGCCCTGCCACTATGCTCACCTGCTCAAAGGACCAAACAGAGTCCACTTTTGGCTTGATTTTGCCTTGATTGTAGAGGGCAATGAGCTTGGTCACCACGCCATTTAGAAGCTCCACTTCATCATCCATGTAGCCGAGGTGGTAGCCACAAACAGCTTTGTTAGAAGGAAGCAGCTGCAATGTATTAATGCTGAACTGGTTCCACCAGGTCTTTGCCATGGCCATCAGGCTCTTCTTTTGCCCTGTTAGCACGTTGGCTACACCTGCCAAGGTTAGTAAGCATATCCAGGTTAACATCCATCAGTAAGTGCAATGGTGCTATGCTAGGTGCAACAGCTAGTCTTAACTTTCAGCTTTCTAGATGATTTGGACTCCATCTCCTAATAATCTTTTACCATTGGCCATGCTAAATGGGGCTTCTGTTAGTCCATTGCACGTAAAAGGACAAAGGTTGAGAACCACTGTTGTACAATACCCAGCATCAAGGCCATCCCTCAAGGTGCCAATCTTGTTACTTCCCTACATTGATTATTGCTCCTCAGCCAAACAAGTTCTAGGAATTCCTAATGTACTGCAGTTTGGGGTCAATTTCAAAAAAAAAATAAATGGCTCAACCCTTCCAAGTTCAGAGCCCTTGCTATGGGAATGGGGTCTGGTGATGGTGACCCCTGCAAAGTCTATGTAGAGATGGTGACAAGAATCCACCATCCTGTCTGCCTGACAGAAACAAGGGCTAGCTGTAGAAAGATGGAGCTTTGGTCTGATCTGCAAAGCCAGATCTATCCAGATGGGGAAAGCATGGTCCTAGAGCTGTATGAAATCCCTCAAGGCTGTTTTGTGACCTTTGACCTCTCCAATATCCCAAACTATCCTTTTCCTGTTTAAAAATAAGAATGAATTGTCTCTTCTGAAAGCTTCCAGGAATGTATGTTTTCAATATTTTGCTGGCAGCCTGTTTAACATTAAAAGATGCCTAATTTGCAAAACCAGAAGCAGACTTCCAGCAACTTCTGCTTTCTTTTTTCTTTCTTTTTTGCAGTTTTCTTCTTCCCCACCCCCTTTCTCTATTTTCCCCCCCTCTTTTTTCTCTACATGTTGTAAAGAGTCTGTGTGGCCCTCAGGGAGATCTAAGAACAGAAAACTGGCCTCCAAACCTACTAGAGCTACCTAGCAGAGTTTCCTTTCTTTGCCTTATATATTCTTAGACATTCCTAATTCTCAGGTTCCAGTGCAGGCTTTCTGAATCTGACACCTTCTAGGCCAGGGGCAGGCAACCTTTCTGAGACTTGGGCCGGTCTCCCGTAGCCCAGGTCTTGGCTGGGCCGAGGGGGGGGGAATGGCGGCGCGTGCGCTCATGCGCGCACATGCACCCTCCGCTGCCGCGCGCAACCCCCCGTGCGCGCGGCCGCAGCCACCGCGGTGCATGTTGCGGCTGCCATTTTGGAAATCAAAATGGCGGCCGTGACGCGTTTGCGCATGCGCAAGAGTACTGCGCATGCGCAAACGCATCGCGACCGCCATTTTCATTTCCAAAATGGCGAGCGCGGCAGCAGAGTGGCAAAAATGCACCGCGGCGGCAGCAACCTTCGGTCTGGGCCGATAAGTCCGGGGACCGGGGCCTTAACCGGCCCCCGGGCCATAGGTTGCCGGTCCCTGTTCTAGGCAAACCAGGCTACCATTCCCCTCATCTCCAATCAACCCATCCCATGGATGCTAGGATAGCTCTCTTAGCAGGAGAAGCCTTTTTTTTTATCCCAACAGGCTTTTAAGAACTGAAGGTTTGTAAAGAAACAGCATTTAAGTATGTGCAGTACTGCTTTAATAGTACTATTTTAACTACTTTTTAACATTTTGATTGCAGTTGGCCCTTCGTATCCACAGGAGTTCCCGTAGATGGCAAATTCTGTGGGACCTCATCCCATTCTCCTCAATATGGTGCAATGTGTGTGTGACCATGTTGGTGTGGCATGTGCATGTGCCGCTAATGAAAAGAATAGGGCGAGGTCATCTGCTTCAATCCATGGATGCCAAACCCGTGGTAAGGATGAACCAAGTATATATGCCAGGGGTAGGCAACCTTTTTGAGCTAGGGGCTGGGTTGCTGTTCCTCAGACAATTGGGGGGCTGAAGCACCAAAAATAAATAAATAAATATTAAAAAATTTTAAAAAAATTAAAAATATGCATGCACACTCTCTCAGCCCCAGAAAAGCCATGGCAAAAGCCCTGTGGAGATTTTGCCAAGAAAACCCCAAGAACAAGTACCGTAATAACAGCAATCATCAATATCATTATGGCGGGCGGCAGCAGTGGCGGGGGCGGCAGCAGGACTGGCCTGGGGACGGTCCAAAGGCCTTGGGGGGCCGCATCCGGCCCCCAGGCCTTAGGTTGCCTACCCCTGGTATATGCTTTACTGTTCTCAATGTTGATTTTAAAGTTGCTTTTCTGTAAGTTTTAATGGTATTGAACTTGTTACAATTTGTAAGCTGCTTGTGTCCCAGTTTGGGGGGAAAGGTGACCCAGAATGGTATAGTGGTTTGAATATTAGAGTATGACTCTGGAGATAAGGATTCAATTCCCTGCTTGGCCATGGAAACCCAGTGGGTGACCATGAGCAAGTCATAGGGCCTTTGCAGACTGCCAGAAATAGTGCAAATTAAGTCCACTTTAAGGGTTAGGGTTAGTGCTAGGGAATCATGGGAATTGTTGTTGTTTTTTCTGAGACATTGAGCCTTCTCTGTCAGAGAGCTCTGGTGCCACAATAAAATACAGTCCCCATGATTCCCTAACCTTAACCCTAACCCTTAAAGTGGACACAATTTGCACTATTTCTGGCAGTCTGCAAAGGCCCATATATTCTTAGGTCCACAAAACCCCGTGATAGGTTCACTTTAGGATAACCATAGGTTTGAAATGACTTGAAGTCACACAACAATAATACATACATACATACATACTAGGACAACTGAGTAGGATATAATGGTAGTTGTATTCCAAAACATCTGGAGAAGGCCAGCTTGGAAAGGGCTGTCCCAGAAGCTAAACCCTGGCAGTACAAACTGGCTTCAGGACTGAGTTTTGCTTCCTGTTTTGTCACAGCACTCTGTACATGCCCAAAGGCACTTTCTTCTTCTGAGGTTGTAGGTTTCTCAAGACGGATCTTGTGGGATCCTAACTGTAACAACACCCTAAATGGGATGCTTTCTTACTCACCATAGGTGATTATTTTGCCCATTGGTTTCAGAAGATTAAAGCCTTTTGTGGTATCTGAGCCCCCTAGGGGGTCCATGACTATATCTACACCTAGGAAAAGGAAGAGAGAAAAATGCCATCAGCATAGCTTTACTAGGAAAACTTTATCTTTCCCCACTAGAACAGAAACAAAATACCACATCAGAAGTTACTATCTTTTACAACCTTTAACATTTTGTCATTTTGAAGGACATTTCCAAAACAGCAATGCTTAGACCTGATTTTTTTAAAGTAAAGCTATAATGTGTAATGTTTATTTAGTCAAACTGGACAGCACACCTGTTTGACCAAAATGAAAAAGGTGGTGTCTCATTTTTACTAATTTTTCTCTGCCTACCATGGACAGTATGGATCCAGATTTAGTTAGGATAAACCCAGTAAAATAAATAGGACCTGCTAGCTATGCCTAAACTGAGCCCAACTGATTTCACTGGGTTTGCTCTCAGTATGACTAAATCTGGATCCAAACCTATGTGTTGCACTTACAACTGGAGACAATTGGGTTTTATATTTTCTAAAGTGGTGAATCAAACTTTATGCCTTTGCTGATTCCAGTGAGCCCCAGGAGATTATCGCACTGCCTTTCCTCCAGTGCTAGTCATGGGATGTAAGTTTAAATAGGAGAATTTTATTGCATACCTCCGTGCCAGGGCAGTAGAAATCCCATACCCAATCTAGGCTTTTCCCACACCTTTTAAAGAATGGGAAAATCCTGCTGCCCAGGCACAGAGATGTGCGATAAAATCCACCTATTTAAGTTTACGGAGAAAAGGCAGAGCAATAATCTCTTTAGCTATAACCTGATAGTTTGTAACTTCTTCACTCCATTTTAAGAGTGTACCCCTACATAGTTACAACACTCTGACAGCGCTTTAACTGCCATGGCTCCATCCTATGGAATCCTGGAATATGTAGTTCTGTGTGGACAATGTTTGTTATTCTCTTCCTATGCTGTAGTTCAGGAGAGGGGGTAGAGTTCTCTAGAGGAGAAT